AAAACCGAACTAAAAATTTTGATTTTTTAACCGAAAAACGAAACATCAATTCGATTCAATTTTTATTTTAGCTGATTCGATTAATTGAAAAAGAAAAAAAAAACATAAACATCGAAACTCCTGTTTCTGTCCACAATCTGAAATTAATTAACTTGCATGGTCAATCATATGCCGACAGACAAGTGTGAGTAATGGCTGCTTGGATTAAAAAATCAGTGTGGACCATGACACAATTAAAAGGGATATGGATGCAGAATTTGTCATGCATATCATGTATTATTATTTCACAGATTCAAGAAATTGATTTCTTTTTTTCATCTTTAAATTAAGCTACCTCGTAAACAAAATACATAAAATATGTTTTTTTTTATATAATTATAGCTTTTATTAATTTTTAGAGTGTTTCAAAAAGTTTATTCTTTTCCTAAATAATTCTCGATTTTAATTATTAAGACCGAGTTCCGGAGAATTTATTTTTTTAAATACACCCAATGTAAAAGATAATTTAATTTCTATTGTGATTAAAATACAAGCTCGGTTCGAAATACTTGGATTACGATCGTATACGGTCTAATTAACTCGCATATAATTTGTCTTTCCACTTTGCCGGCCACGTCATTGTGCAATTGGTAGGGGTGAGCAAATGGTTCGGTTAACCGAAAATCGAATAAAACCGAATCGAATTATGAAATTTGGTTCGGTTTTAAATATAAAATTATACAATATAAAATCGAACCGAAAAAACATAAATTATTTCGGTTCGATTCGGTTTTTAGAAAAAAATTTCGGTTTCGACCAAAAACCGAAATAAATAGTAAAAAATTTCCTAATTTCTAAATCCCTAACTTTTCAATCTTCATTCTTGTTGAAACTGAAACACGCAGATGGAAAGTAAATTTTGAGGACCATTGAGGTAAGAAAAGAAAGTGACATAGTGTAGTTAATTGGGATACAACGTGTTTGAATGAGCAAATTTATTACACTTGGACTCATTTTCATTAAAGCTTAATTAAAATCTTCAAGGGTTTTGTGATTGTTTATAAAAAGGATTAATTGATAACAAGATGTTACTTCATTGGCTAGTGGACTAAGTGTTAGTACAAAATATTTCTCCGTAATGATTTTTTTTTTTTACAATAAAATATTTTGGTTAAAACCGAAATATTTCGAAACCAAACCGAAATAATTCGGTTTCAAACCGAATTTATCGAATTTATTTCGATGCGGTTTTGATTTTTATTTTTTTAATTCAGTTAACCAAAAATCAAACTAAATCGTACATAACCAAATGCTCACCCCTAGCAATTGGACTTATGCTTTTGATTTTCGACCATATTCTAAAGTGCAATTGAACCATGCATTACTTTTGAGCATAACCAATCATCTAATGGTCATCATACTTTATCGAAGAAAGTGTAAAGTTACGTCCCATATATATATGCCCCTCACCTTTCCGAAGGTGGAATCTCCTTTTACGAATTAAGATAATTAACGCCACATATATGTATTTATTTATTTATTAATCTTATATTAATTATAAGTTGTTGGTTGACACGCATCTGAATGCATTTTCCTAGCTATCTGTCTTTTGGGATTTATAGAGCAATAATATCTGGCCAATGGAGGTTTGTGAGTTTTTCATAAATACTAATAGGCATAGGACGAGTGAATGATCGATTATATAAAATCAATAGGCCATTCATCAATTTCACTCTTCCTAAACACAATTATCGAAACATTCCAATTACTCAGGATGAGGGAAAACGAAACCCAAAATCTAACAAATTAATGCAGTGTCGGTCTGGCTGTAAGAGTGGTGTGATTGGCTTTTTTTTAATTAGATTAAAAGCCCCTTGCTTATCCCTCTCAAATTTTGATTTCGTATTAGTTTTATTTGAATTATTTGACTTTGATCTTCATTACCGGTACTAATTACAACATCTCTTTTAACTATACATCGCTATGGTCATGTATAATATTTAAACCAACTTTGAGATCTATATCTTACTTTAAAAATAACTAATAATACTTATTCAATCAAAAAAAAAAAAAAGAAGAAGATAGAGAATTAAAAAATAATAAATGAAAATATTATTAGTTATTTTTCGAAAAATTTTCCAGTAGCATTTATTCTCCCGCATCCCAATTGATAATAGAAGGGATTAATAGTGGGTAGGCTGGCCTCATGCAAAAATTGGTTGCCTAAGATTTTTATAGAATGTTCGTTTATAAAATTAAAATTTCAAATTCTATTTACTATCGTTTGTAATTGGTATTTATTAGTAGTGTACAGCTACGTTCATTATGCATATATAATCAATATTCTGAATTTACTAAAACATATAGAATAACCTATCAATTTTATATGGATCCACTGAATATGCAATAAGCCGGCCTTGGCATAGAATTGGGCAACATAGTAATCCATCCAATAATTAAGCTATATATGTATGCTTAGGACTCACAAATACTTTTTCTTTTATATTGTCACCATCTTATATTAATTAAACCCATCAACATTCCATCCACTAATCAATAGGAGAGTTGAGAAAGTAGAAGAGAATAGTAGTCACATTTTTAAGCTTTTGCATGTATACGTACATGAGGTAGTGTTTCCCACATAATTAAAGTAGCTAGCTAGGGTTCCATGTCAACTACATATATAAATATAGAATGGAGGTAGAACAGCATGCAGTCAATGTTAGAGGCAAAGAGTGGGCAACCACTAACCTGTTTATAATGACCACAAAGACAATGTGCAATTTTCATGTTGACTATGACATTGTCGCAGAACCTTGGCTTGTTTGTGGACGACGAGGTTTTGCTTTATCCCTGCATCTTAATTTCATATATGGAGCATCATAAGCTTACAAGTTATACAAAGTAGCAATAGGTTTTTGCCACGTGCTAGCTATGATTTGGAAATTTTCGAGAAACTAAATATATCATGCAACTTATGTTTTTTATATATATATATATATATATATATATATGTTATTTCAAAGTAAAAACATATTTATTAATGAGAAAATAAATATTTATTTAGCAATAAATATTATAACAAAAAAATAACGATCATATGTTTATTAATTGCAAGTTTTATTATAAATTCATTTCAGAATTTAAATTACAATATCTAATTTACACATCTCAACCATGAAGTTGATTTTATTTTATTTTATTCTTATGCAATATACATTTATTTTTAAGTAATTTTATTTAGTTATTATCTTGCCTAAATTTTCCAACAACTTAAATTTTTGAAACAATTTTAAAGCTACAGCTTTTATGTTGATATAGCATATTTAGAAAAATAAATTCTTTAAAATCGGATTCGAAAAATTGAACTTAAAAATTTTAAAAAGAGAGCAAACTCCTTTATGAAAAACTAACTTTATGAAGTTTAAGATATTGATGATTTAATTAATAACTGTGCGATTATTGTAGTAAAAAAATCAACAAATTTAATCGAAAAAACGTAAATGTGATCAATTATCATCTAATAACATTATGGTGTGTATTTTTTTTTTTAAAGTTATTATCGAGATTCATTTATAAGGTTTATCTAACTTGTAGTCCATTCAAAGAATGTGAGTCTAATTTATAAATTATTAAGAATGGGAATGAAGAGTGAAAATGAAAATGAAAATTTACACACAACTTCATTCCCACATAAGATGTGGGAATAAAAAATAAGGAATGGGAATGAATTTTTTTCAAAATAATAATATATTTTATTTATTATTTATTTATTAACTACTTTTGCCACCATCACCACTACCATTACAACAACCACAACCACCATCACCACCATCACCACTACCACTATCTTCCTCATCACCATCACAATCACCACCATTACCACCACTATCACCACCATCACAACTACAACCACCACCACCATCAATGCAACCACTCGTAACCACCATCATAACCACCACCACCATCATCATCATCACAACTACTACTAACATCATCACAACCACCATCGCCACCACAACCATCGTTATCACAATCATTACCGCAATCATTACCGTCACCGTCATCATCACTAGAACCACCACAATCACTACTATCACCTTTATTATTTTTATAATTATTATAGTTTAATAAAATTATTTTTTAATCATTATTTATATTTGTATACAAAATTAGATATTAAAAAATTTAAATTGCATTCCGATTCCTTATTAGTATTCCAAACACGGTATTGAAATACAAATATCATTCGATTCCTTAATTTTCATTCCGATTCTTGCATTCTCATTCCCATCACTTTATTTCGATCACCAAACAGCACCTAAGAAATAATAGTTATCTACTTGTGACATGTACGGTGTATAGAATACAAATGAAGTTTTATAAGAGAAATGTCGTGGAGAGAGTTGTTGGGTATATCTGGCAGATGTCAACCAAGTTAAATGAGTCCGCTCGACCATGGATTTAGCTCGGATTGTTAGAGGTGAAAAGGACTACACCAGCTTGAAATCCGCCGGCAAAAGGAATGTATAGAGTGTAAACTTGTTATTTATTATCATATTCTGGTGAGTTCGATGATTAAATACATATTAGGTGAAATATACCTAATGTTCTAGTATTATCATCATTGTTTATTTTAACTTTTTTATTCATTTACGATATAAAACTGATTATTTATTAGTTAAAATTTAGATAAATCATCTCTTCCATCCATTTTCATTAATCACATATCATTATATGATTGATCAAACGATAGATAAAAGAACTAATTTATTTTAATTTTGAATGATATATGATTTGTTTTGCATCGTACCTAATTAGAAGGATTAAAATAAACATATTATATTAGTGTAAAGATACTGTATCTATTTCATCAGCTATTTTGACTACCCATAAAACAGCTTGTAAATTCTCAATTGAAAAGATTTCTCTGTATAATCGATTTGAATTGACTCAATTAAGCTCTAAGGATACAGTACTAAAGTGGTAGGACAAGAAGCAATACCTAATTACTTAAGGATCTATGACAATAACAAAAATATGAACAAAATAAATGCTAACACAATCATCCCCAGAAACCAGAGCTTAGAACCTGATGCATCCACTTTATGTCTTCCGTTTTTCTTTGATTTCAACTTCACGTCTTCCAAAAAGATGCTAACTCCAGGATCTCTCATACTCACCTCACTTCCAAGCAGAATGGAATTGTTAACCCCTTGAACATTGTTGTTTATGAAAATGTTAATGCAATAACTATCTTGAGGTTCATCCTTGACGCCATGACGGAGGGACATTGCAGCCCCAACATTTCTTCCTTCTAAGTTGACTCGATTAAACGAGCCATGGCTGCTTTCTGGGGCCATGAGACTCTTGACTGATCTTGATAGTTTGGTCACAGCAACAGCGCTCTTATCAAATGGAGAGAGGGTAGCTCATGGTGGATTAATCCTCCCAGCGTCTCGATTCTTTACTTGCATTTTTCTGAGGGGTATATTTCACTTTTCCGCTGCTACTAGGAAAAGAAAAAGTTCTCCTGGAATGACTTTAGCAACAATTAATCTTGTGCTTCTTGTGCTGCTTACGCCATTGGAAATTTAGAAATTTGCACAAATTAAAGTTTTCAGCCATGATCAAGGGCATGTCAGTTAACAAACAACACCATTTTATAATTTGGAAAGACCTTAACCCTAGAGTACTTACTGTATAGTCTTAGTAACAGCCAGCTCTAACAAATTAATAATTAGAAAGACCGTTCAACAGCACAACTGCTTTCATTGATTGCCGAGAAAAGCACTTGGCACAGTTAGCAGACAAAACAAAAACCATTCTGCACTCCGTTGCCCAATCATTTTTTTCTTTCAAACTTTCGCAGTTGAGGCTATTTCCTCGCATAATTTTCTTCCAAAAAATAGAACCTCCACTTCTGAAAATTACAAAATAATCTCAAACGTCATAACATACAACTGCAAATCAATGGATTCATGGTATAATCTCCAATGATGTTTTTCTTTTTTCTTTTTTATTTTTTTGACTGATGAATTATAATTCTTTTGTGCACCTGTCCTTTCACCTGCATGTTAATTGCTTATTACAACAAATTTGGAATAGAAAAAAAAAGTAAAAAGTGCCCAGTTGAGGAAACGCAGAGAACACAGCAACGTCCAACAATATAACCAATTAACCAATCACTATAGCTCACCCGACCGACTCAAGTCACCAAGCGTTTGACCTTTCCAAACAATTAACAACACTTCATCTAAAAATTAAAATGAAAAGGAAAATATAACATGTACCAATACTATTTCAAACTCCAAATAAAACAATTGACAAGGAAAATTGTCAAACCAGAAGGAAAAACACATACCAGAAACATTTCTGCTACTAAGAAAAAACCATTACCTTTTTTCTTTTCTAAAAGTTGCAATAATGACATACAGCCCTGAAGATACTGATGGGCATCTACAATTCAGCCTATTCCTAACCACAAAAATAATCAGGAAATTGGCCACTCTTCAGAAACTTATGACGCCAAGGCTATGAACTTATTATGAACTCCATAAACTTTACAAACGATACAGCTGCAATTGTTATAAATTGCAATTGACAAGAATCCAAACTAAAACATGGTTATTAAGGTGAATATTTCTTCCACTGTGAACAAAACAAACAAGGTCATTCGATCCATGTTTCCCTCAAAAAATTGATGGCGTCATACGGTTCCAAGTTTCCAAATAGGTGATGGAACATAAACATTTCAAAATGAAAGATCCAAGAATCTTATGGGAAGGAATCAGGGGAAACCCTTTCACTGATTGTAGAACCAAATTGCGGCCCACCCTTACGATATGAGATAAGAAACTCAATAGGGTATCCCTTCAGCTTATGTGGTACAATCCCAAAATCACTGAATGTTAACGCTGCAAGCCAGAACCAAAGGCAAGCAACACAAATGTGAGAAAAGATTGAAACAATGCAGCAAAGAAGAACCACCTTAACTTACTGAACTAACCATTTTCTGAGACGACTGTATCCACAGTAAGGGTATTGATCTCATCTAGGTTGAACATGTTTGGAGTGGGCAAGGGAAATGGAACCTTATTAAGCAATATTTCTCGTGGCATTGCAAGCGCCTGCAAACATTCAAAACACAGTTGCAATTTAATGATATTAAGATGTCAACTAATAACCAGTTCAAATTTTCAAACTAGCAAAGATAGACATGAGGATGCATAGCCACAAACATATTGGTGAAAGAGACACTTGACAGTATAGAAGATATCTGCTGGGTGTCAGGAAGTGTGTGTGTGTATATGCATGCGCCATGAATACATGGTAATAGAACACATCTGCTGGATATTAGAAGTCTGTATGTTCCAATATAAGCATTATTTTCTCTTCAGTAGAGGTGAATTTCAGATCAAACAGCTCAAACTCAAGCATCATTGTCTACTCAGAGCAGGTGAATCAGACACTCAAACTCACATAACCTAGAACCTAATGGGTAGTTGATAACCGTTTCAAAAGCACTTTCTTTTTGGAGTAAAATTAACTTCCTGCATACAACAGGTCACATATTTACCTTGGCAATGGGAAATGGAACTTTCACATAGCGAGGATATTCACGAATCATGTCATACATCATCTCTGCCTGCATTGCACATAAGACTTCAGTAGTTTCAGCAAGTATCAAGGCATGAAAACTAACAAAAGGGGAGAGAGGTTACCAATTCATGCAAGGTAAAGATTTCTGGCCCACCAAGCTCATATACTTTTCCCATACTGCTGCCATCGTCTTTCAAGGCTGCAATAATTGCAGCAGCAACATCAACAACATATACAGGTTGGATTCTGCAAACAAGACCCTATTAGAAATATACACGCAAAAAGTTCAGAAATTTTTTTTTTTCATGCTTAATTCATACATTATTGACATACTTGGTAGATCCATCTCCAATGAGTGGAAGAAACGAATATTTTTTTGCAAAGTGGGCCCACCGGTTCAAAATACGATCCTCTGTACCAATCATCACAGCAGGTTTCATGACTGTTGCCTGTAAACGTCAATGTCTGTAAGACTTGGCTTTTGAAAAAAGCAGCATGCTTACATCTAAAGATGTGGGGGGGGGGGGGATGCTAGAAGGTGGAGCACTTTCTTGCATGGTCTTAAATCAGCTTTGATTTGCACCTTCCAATCATGGTTGTCCAACAAATTTTTTTGCCTTCCCCTCTCCAATATGTTTTGGTTACCACATCGGACAAGTAAGCTAGATCATTTATGTATTTGTATTTGAGTTGTCCCTGTTCCAGGAACTTTAAAAAATCTACACTTAAAAAGAAGTCCAGATATGGTGCATCTTCCAAGTAATGTCTTAAGAAGTAACAACATATTTCACAACAATGTCTAGAACTAATTGTTACCCTAAAACAAAAGGACCATATAGAGCAACTGGATTTTGCTTTGTTTTTTCTGGGTCATTACAAAGTTTTGATGTGAATATTGTAAAGTTTTGATGTGAATATTGTAAGCCATCAATTAAGATGTCTGCAGAAGACAATGCAGCAGTAAAAAGGTCTACCCAATCCTGAAGCAACATAACACTAAAGAAAATAAAGCTTTCTTTTTCTTTGTATTAAATAATTTACACTTATTAAAAGAAAATCTTGGCAATCTCTAGAAAAATTGTAGTGCCTTACATCCCAGGGCACATAGTCGAAGTTATTCATAATAAAATGGCTTATACCAAATTCAAATGAGATTAAGAGGACTATTCTAGCAAAACACTCTTTATATGTTTCAATGGATCGAGACACATGCACAAGTTATCAATTCTAGCACCCAAAATACTTCTCTAATCCCAAGTAGCAAGTCATAAAAAATATATATGTATGCATTGATATTGTCACAATAAAGAAAATAAAATCTTCGAATAATACTGTTGTGATTGGAATTGGCTCAAGCAAATACAAAAGCATTTCAAACAATCAAAAAACAAATCAAACGGGTATCAAAAGCAAGCAGACAAAACACAACATATACCCTAATCACTTGTGCTTTGAACCAACACGCTAAAACACAAGTGCATGCACAGCCACCTTCAGGTTCCTTTTGGTGGGAGAAAGCTGGGAGGGAAGATAAAGAGGTGAAAGGGAAGAGCACAGCCATTGTTACCTTGCTTGGCAAGTATGATAAAAGGGAAAGAAGCTTCCCTTTCGAAATAACAAAATCATTCCCATCCAAAAGCAGGTAGCATAAAGGGAAAATCATACTTTTGTTGGATCAACGTAACAAAATCCTTTCCACCAAAAGTAGAAGCAAAATGCTCCATTTCAAAGGCATGGTGTACGATACTCATGTATGATGAAATTTTGTTTTTGGAATTTGGATCTACCCTTGGGTTTAAAGCAAAATGACAGCTCTAAGTCCCCATCTCCTTTAAAACCAACTTCACTGCTCACAGCCTCTATTTCACCTTAGGAAACACAAAGCACATAAAAGATGGTTGGAGTGTGGGGCATGATATCAACTTGTGTGAGCATAAGCAGTGTACGCATCAAGATCACTGTATGGTTTAAGAAACTTAGCTCCCATGATATGGTCACTTTAAAAATCCAAATGATGCATCATTAGCAGAGGCCATAGTAAAACCAACACTAAGTATTCACCTCAGGCATTTCTCTCAAAACAGCTTCCTCTCCAGCAGCCTTAGCTCTTAACATTCTTGATGGAGATGACGCAGATGCTCCTAAGCAAGAAACTTGAATAAATCTCATTATACCGCCATGCTCTTTAGAAATCTGTAGAAGTCGAGAAAGATAACACAGTAAATGAGGGAAAGGCAAAAATAAACTTTTGATTTGAATTTGTCAGAGAAGAGGGTGGTTGCAAATGATGGAGACCCTGAGATAATAAGAAAATAACGTGTCATTTGGTTGACAGGAATAAAAGGTTTGGAATAAGAATGCAAGGATCAGAATATAAATTAGAGAGTTAGAATGGCATTTGCATCTCATTCTATGTTTGAAATCATAATAAAAAATCAAAATGAAATTTAAATTTTTTACTATTTGATTACTAAGACGAATAATAATTATAATTAAAAAAGTAATTTCATCAACTATGAAAATGATAGACGTGATTGTGATAATGGTGGTGGTGGTGGTGATGGTGGTGATGATGGTGGAGTAGGAGGAGGAGGAGGAGGGAGGAATAGCAATTTAATAATAGTAATAATATATTTTTAAAAAACATGATACCACTACCGTAGGATGTGGCAATGGAAGAAGGGTGGTGGTAATGGTGGTGGTGGTGGTGGTGGTGGTGGTGGTGGAGGAGAGGGAGTTGTGATGAAATAATAATAATCATAATTTTTTTCTAAATTCTTTTTATCACCACTGTTGCTGGTGGTGGTGCTAGTGGTGGTGGTTAAGGAGGAGTGGTGGCAAAATAATAGTAGCGGTAGCTTTTTTTCAAAAAAATTTTATCTCCCTTTTAGGAAAGAAACTATGTTTAATTTTTATTATCATTCCTTTTAACCAAATACCTACAAATTGGAAATAAAACTTTCATTCTCGTCCCACCATCTTACTTATTGTTACCAAACAGCATCTAAAAGACATATGCTACTTCCTCCAAATCCACATCCAGGAGAATTAGAACACCTACACTATCATAATCCAGCAATACTATCATGATTTACCAAGAAGAGCCAAACATACCATCGCAAGTTGTTCGGCCATGCCTTGGTTCAACTCCTCAAAACTGTAGTTTCTTGTCTCGTAATCCCTTCCTATCAATAATGATGCATAACTGAGTAAGTAGATTTGCATATGAGTTAAAAGATCAAAGATATCATAGATAGCAAGTTACCAATAAGATTAATAACAACATTGGCCTTTGCCATTACAGCCTTAATGGAATCCTCATCTCTTGGGTTGTATTTCATTGGTACTATCTGAGCAAGAAAAATGAGAAAATATCTACATCATCAGGAACACCATCAACATATCGAACATCATCCCAAAAATGCAACAATAAAAACTGTGATTCAGGCCAGACAGAGGAGAAAAAAACACTGTATATTAATTCACTACTTTACCTGACCCAAATCACCCATCAACTTGAGGTGGCGAGGATCGTCTTCAGAACCTCTGAAAGGAACTAACACTTGAGAACCCATTTTTGCTGGAACACAAATCAAGCAACAAATAAGAATTACAGATAAAAAACTAAAACCACTTCAAGTGAAGAAGGTCCGGATAACTGACTAATACTCCATTCAACTCACCAAGTTGTTGCACAACATATCGACCAAGGAACCCCGTAGCTCCAAACACCGTAGCAACAATTCCACTATGCAAAATAAAATAAAATAATTAATACTAAAACATCTGCAAAAATTATCCAACAACTCAGTCTTTTTCAAATAAAACTAATTGTACTTTCTGTTTCCTCAGAAAATAAACATTTAACATGAAAAACCAAGGCACACTCACTCAGGCACTGACCACATTCAATAAAAACAAATACGATTAAGAAGCAAACATCTTTCAGTTTCATTTCAAGTGTAAAAGCATGAGATTGAAGGAATGAAAGATAAGAAATTACCTGACAGAGGATCTTCCACCAGTGCCCTTGCGAACAAGGTGGCCTACACCTTTGGTAGCGAGAGTAGATCCGTATCGTTGATGATCAGCTCCATGATCTGCAAATTAATTTTTTTTAAAAAAAAAGCAAATTATGAAAATGTCATTGTAAATGTAAATAAAAACCCTAGAAACACGGAGGATTACAGTGATCGGAGACAGGGTAAATTGATTTGAAAGAAGATAGTGAAGCTGATGGCTTCAGAGATTGGTGCCCTAAACGCCTCGAAATGGCCTGCATCCTTCTTGGTTCTATAGAAAGAGAGAGAGACACTGGAGAGTTAAGTTTGGGTGAGGAGAGAGAGAGAAAGATGTCGTCGCCCGTGAGGGATTTGCATTTGGATTTAGGATCTGGATCTGGATTTCTTCTGTTGCGGGCCGACCCAAATAAACGGGTTGGATTAAAAAAACAGGCCCCTTTATACAGAACCTGGCTTTCGATGAAATTGAAACTCCATTTCTCTTTTATTGATGGTTGCAGTGCTTCTATTTTTTCTTTTGTTTTTATTGTGTGTGTGTTTTTCATTTTTAATTCATTTTTTTGTATTCAATTTTTATCTTAATTGTGTTTTTTTAATTAATTCTTTTGGATTAATAATGTTAAATTGTATGCAAGATTGTAACATGCATTAACTTTGGTTTTTTTTTCTTAATCTCGTCTTTTTTTTTCCTATTTCATTTTTTAAAAAAAATATGAAGATATATGCGGTCTCTTAACCATTTTTTGAGTGAATATTCTTAAAAGAGTTAAATAAAATTTATATTCATGCTTTTGAATCAAATTAAGAAATTTATAAAATAAAAATAAGTAAATTATAGTAGACTCTTTTAAGGTCTTATAAAATTATAAATATCATTCAAAAATTTAAAATTTTAATTAAAACTAACTTGATATTTAAAAAAATATATAAATATTTTATTTTGTATTAAGATTTTGCTTAATGTCATAGAGATAAATTTAAACTCATAAATGATATTTTGGATTAAAAAAATATTTTTATCTTCATATTTTATTTTCTTTTCTTTTTTAATCTTTAGAGAGAATGACTAGATATATATATATATATATATATATATATATATATATATATATATAATAACATAAACTCGTTTGAGATATTATAAAAATTATAAATATCATCCAAAACTTTAACATTTTAACCAAAAATCTCATAACATTTAAAAAAAAAATTACAAATATTTGTTTTATATTCAAAATTTAACTACTATTATAAAAAAAAATTAATTTAAACCTATAAAAGATATTTTGGATTAATTTTTTTTTTAATCTTTGCCTTTTTATTATTTAAATATTTTAAAAAATATAGAGAGACAAGATTAAGATTAAAAAAAAAAAAAAGTTCAAAGCAACTGTAATCTTGTGAAATTAACGAGTGCAATCAACGCTATTAATCCAAAAAATTAACGGTAGAATATGATTAAAACAAAAATCAAATATAAATGGATGAACTTAAAATGAAAAAAATTAGAGCAACATGACAAAGACGAAAGAAAGAGTAGAGAAAGCCTCATGACGACTAATCCCATTCTTTTTTCATGTTGTTTCCGGAAAGAAAGAAAGAAGGTAAAAAAAAAAATTTATATTATATAGTAACTTCAAAACACTATAATGAACATAAATTATTTACAAGTACATAGTAATTCATAATTGTTACTTTTTTTTTTGTCCAAATTAAACACTCTCTCTCTCTCTCTCTCTCTCTCTCTCTCTCTCTCTCTAAGAAGCCAAACTAAATGTTTTTACCACAAATTGAAAAGTCAAGCTCCCAAAATAAAAAAAGAGGACCATCAAGCCAAGTATGCTCTGTAATACTTGACAAAGCATGTTTAGCAAGCATATTAGCCATTCTATAGACTCGTTTTTTCGTATGAACTACTTTGATGAAAAAATTTATCTAACGGTCTTTTGATGTCTAAGATCAAAATTTACCATGAATAGCAAGATCACAATTACATATTATTGAGTCATTGCATCACTTGATATACATTACTAGGGTTATGTCTTAATCCGAATTTAATATAATTTCGATATAATTAAATGAATTCAATATACAATATTTATGATTCAAGTCGACTATGATCTAAATCGTTAAGTTATTTATTAAATAGACTAAATACAAATATACTTCAATCCGATCCGATAATAATTCGATTGAAGATTAATATTAATATTATTTCTAATAAATATAATATTTTAAAATGATACAAAAAAATTATGGCACTAGGATTAGTTTAGGGTTTATTTATTCTACAAGCTTAGAAACATTGTATAATTCTTCTTCTTCTTCTTTTCTCTATATTGACGACTATTCTTTCAAATAATTACATGAAGTTTTTTTTTCATCATTTTTCAATTAATTTCATGAAAGATCCTATAAACGTATGAAAAAATAAATAAACTAACGAGTTTGTGGTTAGTATTATACTTGTGTTTCTAAGTTATTAAATCTCTATTCAATTTGAATTTTATTCATTTCAAACTTGTTATTTTAAAAACAATAGGATTTTTTTTTTCATCATATCAATCAAGGTGTGCCTAGTATAAGCATTTTTGTTGTTTTTCTTTAACTTTGTTACACTTCCTACCTAATTTAAATTAGTTTTGACCTTTAATTTAAATTTTTTTGGGATTAATTAATTTTGTTCTTAATAATGGGGAGACATTTGACTTTTTTTTTTAATTTAACATATTAAATATTATGATTTTCTTATACATGCAATAGTTGAAACTCAATTTTATATTGAATCATGATTTGAATATAACCGAGTACTTTTTCTTTAGATTTTTTTCCATATATGGACCTTGTACTCTTCAAATTTTTTTGAATGAGATTGTCCGTTGAGATGCTATCTATTTTTAAGTTGACATAGTACGTTATCGTTGAAGTCAATCAATCGATGATTGACACATGGTAGTTTGGGTTTTACAAAATAGTAAAGCCGTCCGAATTAAAAAAAAAAAAAAAGAGCAAAAAATAATTTTTATAACAAAATAATACAAAAAATAAAAAACAAAGGTGAAAAGACCAAACCACGCACCCTCGATTATTTCTCAACCCAATTCTAGGTTTGGATTTTTCTCTTTCTCTCCTCTCATTCTCTCTATTTCTCTTCTTTTGCTTCAGAATTGAACAAGGAACTAATAACAACAACATAAATTGTTCTTCAATCTTAAATTAGAATCAACCTTTAACAACTAAGAACTTGAAGTCGCCGATGCAATAAAAGCCTCATTTCAATCCTCGATGCCGCCACCACCACCACCATTATCAACAATAATAACTCTTTCTTTTTCTATAATGAAAAAACAACACTCAAGTCCACAAAAGTATTAAGAACTCAAAGCAAATTGCCTAATTCTCTTTTTTATCTCTCCAAACTTTTTTCCTCTCTCTTTGTCAAGGTAACTTTTTTATGCCAATATTTTCTATTATTTTTATATCTTATTTTTACTTGAATTTCTGTCTTTCTAAAACCCATTTGTTGAATTCCTTAAAGAATTTTGGGTTTTGGATTTTTTTCTTTTCAATTGCAAGTTGCCTACCACATTTTTTTCCATCGAAAGCTCTTAGTTAGCTCTCTGCATCATCATTACCTTTATCAAAAGTTTAGAAAACTCATACTCATCCGACATTCTTATCCGATTTGGCTTTTCTTTAGTAAAATCCGAATTCCTCTCAAAGATTATTATCTCAATATTCCTTTTAACCAAACTAAAAACACTACGTTTAGCGATACATCACCTTCCTCTACCATTAGATACATTAATCCATTACCTCTTCTCATATTTGCACTTACTAAAACTCAAGCTCCACCAACCCACACACATACTATGATGACAAGATCTCAAAACAAAATCTTTAATCCTAAATACATATTTAATATAACAAAACATCCCGCTTCGAGTCCTAGTCGAGCCATTCTATTCCTTAGCATCGATCCTAAATGATAAGTTGGCATGATTGAGGAATTCAATGCTTAGCTTCGGAATAGTACTTGAAATGTTGTTCCACCTAAATCTCATTATAATGTCATTGGGCCAAAATAGGTATTTCCTATCAAAAGAAATTTAAATAGACTCTATTAACAAATTCCAAGCAAGATATATGACTAAAGAATTCCATCAAATGTTAGGATTAGACTAAACAAAAACCTTCACCCCAATAGTCAAACCTACCACCATTCCTACCATTCTCACTATTGCTCGCTCTCAAAATTGGTGTATTCATTAACTTGATGTAAACAATGTGTCCTTACAAGGCATCCTTTATGATGAAGTTTATGTTCAATAACCATATGTTTTTATTAATCCATATTCTCCTCCTAATGTATACCGTCTACGCAAGGGCCCTTATGCCTTAAAACAAACTTTACAAGCCTAGTACCAAGAGCTTCACAAATTTATTCTTGCTTATGGCTTCATTGGCTCCAAATCGGATGCTTCTTTATTTTTTTATAATTAGAATGAAGTTTTTGCATATTTCTTGGTTTATGTTGATAATTTGCTCTTAACAAGAAATAACTCATAGTTTACACTACAACGAAAAGATGAATTTGCGACGAAAAATTGGCGATGGTCCAAAAACAGTACGCTAATTTATAATATTTGCGATGGTTTTAGTTGCTTTAGGGACGGTCCAAAAAACCATAGCTAAAATTCCACCAAACGATCGTTTTTAGCGACCGTTTGACCAAATTGTCGCTAATTACCCGGATTTTTATTTTTTTATATGGACCATATTTACAACGGTTTTTCTAAAAAGGCCCATTGCAAAAATTAAAATTAACGACGGTCCACCAAATCGTCGCTAAGTCCGTTGCAAAATATTTAGCAATGGTTTTTTTATCGAAAAAACCATCGTAAATTGCAATTTAAAAAAATTAAAAAACCAATTTTTACGATGATTTTTTGCAAAAAAACCATTGTAAAATTTCAAGATCGTTGCTAAACCATTGCTAAAATTGCAATTGAAAAAAATAAAAAATCAATTTTTACGATGGTTTTTTGCCAAAAACCGTTGCAAAATTTCAAATTAACGATGGTCCGTAAACCATCGCCGAAATGAGTTCGTTGGTGGGAGATAGTTATTTTTCAAAATTTAAGAAAAGTAACCAACAATTAACGACGGTTTTGGGTCCATCGTTGAACCTTTACTCTTATAAACCCATCCTCCCAAAAATTTTCAAAAAAAAATTTCTCTCTCCAGCCTCTCTTCTTCT